ACAACCCTCGTATAATCACAAATACATGTACTTTCGATCTTCAAGTGACCACCCTTGAGCATTTTTTTTATTTATAACAGCAAAGATTTGTATTTGATATGTCTTTAGAGAAAAATGTCATCCTTTCTATTCATTTTAATTGACTCAAAGAAGTTAAAAAACAAGAAAATTAATACTTGTAATTCTGTTAACTGGTTTCACACAACTGCACCATTGATGCAATGTTTGTAATAAATAAAACAATTCTTGCTTTTTTGTCAAGTTTATTTCCTCTTAGTATTACACTTGTATGTATTAAGATTTTTGTCTAATATACAGTGTCCATTTAACAACAGTGGGGTTTATCTAAAATCTCTCTAATTACCTTTAAGTATGTCAAAATTTTTATTCTGAAACAAAGTAAGAATTTAACAAAAATAAAATCATGTATATATATTTTGAAGTAAAATAATTCCAAAGATAGGGTTTTGTGTAAGTTTTATAATACTCAGAGCATTTCCTTTTAACATTTCCAGAACTTTTTTCCAAATATTTTATACAGATCGTATCATTGATTCTGCAAACTATCTTTTGAAAATAGTGTCATAAGATGAAAAGGTACAGTAATCAAGTCCAAAAGTGCACGGAAACAATAGAAGTCGGGAGCAGAGCAAATACAGACCTCTAAAACCTAAAAATATTATATCATGTTTCAAATCATTTAATTGGTTAACCCTTTACATGTAATTACCAGAGATTTTGCGTTTTTACTAAAAAATTGACTAAAATTTTTGATATAGAAATTTAGACATTTTCTAGTCATTATTACATAAAGCAACCTATATATTTTCTGAAAAGGCGTCAAAAGGTGTCTCTGGGCGCTAAAGGGTTAAAATGTTATAAAATAAATGAGTGTCGTGGATGAGAATTGTGCTCCGTTGCAAGCAAACCTATTTTTTGTATTCATATGAAACAGTTTTTTCCAATTTTTCTTATTTCTAGATTTTACATTTTTCGACGACGTATATTCAATTAACAAACATTACTTTCATTTAATGTCGACTCGATAAATCCCAGTGAGCTTGAAAAAAGTATACCTCTTTGACAGGGTCTGACACATCTGTTGGAATTTGGATACTTTACTAGAGAAAGACGTTCATGGTAACCTTACAACAAAGCCTTAGGATAAAAAGGATAAATTTTAATTTTTCATCGTCAGCTTCACTTATGAAGTAGCATTATAACTTTATCACCTGCATATAGGGTTTATGTCTCTCAGTTGATTCGATTCGCAGGAACCTGTTCTTCGTAAAAATAAAATAAGGCAGTATATTGACAAACAGGTTGATGAAAATTGTTGGAACCCCCGGTTGTGGCTTAATATTTCTCTCTCATCTGTAGTAGTGTGACATAAATAAATTGATTTGTTTTTATGAGATATTTCTTCTGATATTGTGAATGATTGATGTACTTAACAACATTCACAATGCTGACTTTCTAAGTGTCTTAGGAGTTCTGAGGTCTATCTTTTACTTGATATTCCCCCACAAAACTTTTTCCATGTTAGCATCAGTGTTCGTAACTTGGAGAGCAGCATCGTGTTAGGTACTTTACAAGTCATTATCAAAAACACAATAATTGATTTTATCAAAATAATTTAATGTTCAATGTCTATAAATAATTTTGATTAAGAAAAGAATTATGATAATGTCGGCTGATCATTTATCATTCACTGTTTGTTTCGGAAGCTTTTAGAGTGAAACACATTTCTTCACACCTCACTCCCAGACAACGAATCAGTTTTAAAGACCACGTGATTCAATAATTGTGGAGATGGGCTTTAGTTTCGATATTTTTTCACTGCTATCAAGCAAATGCAATTTGTAAAAAATCTCCCTCTTATGAACTTGATTTAAAATTAATCAAATTTAGGAAATATTTGTAGAGTATGTTTGTTTAATTCACAAACTCAACTATTTATGCATTATTTACACATCCATTTAAACACATTTATACGAGTTTGTTAATATTTTATCCTTGACAGTTTCCTGCACAATAGCTCTATTAACACCTTACAAGAATTTAATGGTTTGGCTTCCACCACGGAACCCAGATAGTGAGAAATATTTCATTTGATAGAAACAATGACATAACGACCAAACATAAAGATATTATGCTACTAAAAGATGTCATTTTTTATAATTTAAGTTTGAAAGTTTGGTAATTGGAGAGAACCAGTTTGGTAGCTCACATGCACATGTACACATGTAATTTATTTTGACATTGTAGAATAACGTTTCTGTATTGAATCTTCAATAATAATAAAAATATACGCATTAAAATGAAAGAACAAAGCTGGTGGAAAATGATAAGATCATCATGCATTCAAATGGAACCGTTTTACTCAGGAATTGCATTATTTAAGGAATGACTTTACACTTACTTTCTTTTCATTTTTCAAAGACCCTTAGTATAAACGCCCTTTTGGAGACAGGGGACCCATTCCTTGAGAGTTTAAAACATCAATTTGTAGTTATGCTTGTTGTGCGTGATCTGCAATATTGAGGATTCGTACAAAGTATGGAGGAAGCAGCCATGTCAAATCGTGTATGCATTTGACGATGTTTCCAAGACGTTTATGGAAATCAAATAAAACACTAGACTGTAATTCTAGTGTGATAAAAAGTAGACGATTTAAGTAAGTTTCGTTTCCTGTATTAGAGATATTCGCCGTAAAAGAACAAAATAAAATGAAAGTATCTTTGGATTGGTCTCGCATAACCAAAATGAGTCTTTTTATCTTAAAATTTATTGCTTAAGGAGGGCTTCTTCTCGTATTTTTCGTATTTGAAAATTGACTAAATTTTAACAGATTCAAGAAGACACTATTACTAAGTAATAATATGAATGGAGTTCCATTCCACCCTTTTTGTAGAAGTAAGGTCAGGTCATGATCTAATCTTTTCATTTACATCAAGCATAAAAAAATACTTTTACAATTCATATGATGCCTAATTTTATTTTAAAAACTTTTGCATGAAAACAGAAAACATTGAAATGATTTTATTTTCTTAAATTTTGGGTATATATAGTAATCTTTTAATATGCTTCTTATTTTTATTTTTTCTTATTTTTACTTATGGTAAAGTATTCAAATAAAGATACACAATGATATGAAAATAAAACGTTTCGATCGTTTAATTATAGAGAAAAATGCCTTTTAATGTGTGTGTGCTCAAATTAAAATCTGATTTAGATTGGATGCTTTTAAAAGCTAGCGGTTTTTTTTTTGTTTGGAATATCATACCTATTTCATATAAAAGTCCTGAATTCTTTTGAATTTGGAAACCAAATTTATTGTTCAGTAGTTATACTGAGAAGCAGAAAGGGAAATATTTTCTTACACCGCCATTCTGCAAAAAAAAGTCCCTGCTTGATTTCAAACCGAATTTACCAATTCTGTTTCATATTGTACAATAATGAGAAGGAATGAAAAATATGATCTTTGAAATACCATATATTTTTATATATAGTACATATAAGCAAAATTAATGTACTTTGAATAATCCATCTAGTCAGAAACCAGACAAGAATCACTCTTAAACATAAAGGGTCACCAAATACCTAACTCTATCCAAACTCAAAATACTTATGAGCTGGTTACTTTACAAATCATTCATTCAAAGGATAACAGTTTTCGTGTTCTGAATAAAGTTTTCTCATATCCGCATATGTCATAAATAAAGATAGTAGTATATACCCCCTGTAATTTTTAAAATATATATTAAGTATATATTCTAATCTTTGTTTAAAACACTTTTGATGTGCAAAAAAGAAGAAAGAACTGTGTTTAAACCAAGGTAAGTTACTGACACACAAGTTGATGAAACAAGAGTATCAACAGTGTCGTTTAAAGTCATCAATTCGAAAATGGTCAATACAATGACCTTGTCAGCAATTTCAATCGGTCATTAAGTCCAATGCTAATTGATTGCTTTGCTCCTGATCTATATTGTTTAAAAAGCATGATTGCCGGATCTTTTCCTCTTATTTCATGCAAGGAAATAGATTAAAAAGCTTATGATATTTCATTGAACAATGTGCTTAAAGGGGTTAGATCTTTAAATACTTCCCTAATGGCAGAATTAATTCTGGCTGCTGACATGCTTGATCATCCATATAAAAATTTCACTTTTTCAGCTAAGCAATTAAATCTACAATTATTTTCTTGATGTCTTGGTATATGTTAACATATTTATGAAGGCAGGTGAATGTGCGCTCTACTCTAAACAGCGAATTCAATATAATTTATCTGCATTGCATTCTAGGATTTGGGGTCAATGAACACTGTATTTTAATCAAATTGTACGGAGATGTAACGATTTGAAGCCAATTCCTAAGAGTCGTGCTGCTCATATTTCTTCATATGAAGTCAGTATTACTCTTAAACATCCAACAATGATGAGGTAATATGGTTTTAACGATAGCTCAATAGTTACATGTATGGTCACTACTACTTAGATATATTTTCTATTCATGTATCACTGGAAGCAGCTGCTGTCTTAAAGATAACCTTTTTCATTGGAAGTAGAGCTTGAAATGTACCTTTTTAATGCTCATGCCAAACACTGTTCAATAGGCTCTCTTCGCAGAATTCCGCTGATTGCTCTTACTAATGTGTAATGAAGAGACTGGACTAAACGTTATTTTAATGCCCGTGTTTACACCTCGCGCTCAAATAACTATTGCAGGAGACCAAAAAAATCCAATCACTTATTTTGTTTAGTTGTCAAATATCCCATTTTGTGAAAACGTAGAAGCAGAAGAGATTGTTATTAAATGCTTAAACAGACATTGGAAATCATTATCGTGTTCCAGCCATAAGATCTGTATCGAGTTCCTGATTGGTCGTCTGCGATTAAATATTAATATGACATTTCCATATAGATTTTCAACATTGTCAAATTTGTCACGTGGTTAAATAATTCATGACGTCATTTTGAATTCTGAGGTGGGTGGTCAAGAAGTATTTGTCTGCTAGAAATTGCTTTGAGCTTTCAGAGGGTTACAACAGGCCAAGAGTGACAGACTGCAATACAAACAACCATGCTTGTGACCAGGATTACATCTTTCATGCTTCTTTTTGTCCTGCTTTCAAACACAGAGGCAAAGGTAGGATCATCCTATCTTATTTGTTTATTATCTAGTATTTCTAACTAATTGCAAAACAGATATCTTTCTCTGGACTATCTTGCCATATTATTTTGGTTGTTTTCTATCTTTAAGCCTGAGAGAAAGTCGTTTTTTCTAGTGATATTAAGCTATCATAACTTGTTTACTTTTGGCCGAAAACTTAGCAGGTCATATAGAAAGGAATTTTTTTGGTGTGAAAATTAAGATTTATATGTGTTTAACAGAAAATTTAACAAAAAACATTCTTGAAGACAATGCATGCAAATAACATTAGGCAAAGCTTATCAACTAAGTGGATATTATGTCTTTAAAAAATTGTGACATGTTGAAATGGTCAATAGATCATGGTTTAATACATGTATATGCTATTTGATTTTATTGTGTTAACTTTAATCAGTTATGAATACTTAATATAGCTAGAGACAGAAAGTTGTTATTTTACCTCACCTTATAACTTGAATTAGAAATATTCTCTGCAATATGACTGCATTTCTTTTAGTTAATGAAAACCGTATTCGATCTTTTAATTCCTAAGTACCCGTTTTAGGGGAAAAAAAATATATACCACACTATGGTATTGTTGAAAGTACTTCCAAGGCAATGGGAATTTGTTGACTTTATTTACTTCTCGTTTTGGGGAAAGAAATTAAAATGAAGATTCCTAAGGGTATGTTGGCAAAGATGTGCATCTAAGTTACCGTTAGAGAGAAACAGATGTAAAAGATCATGCCATGATCTTAAAAGCATGGCTTCGAACTGAAATGCGCCTATCAACCATGTGATTGGGTTTCATGTATTGAAACCATTTGTTTCAAACCCCTCACTTAGTCCCTGACTTAACGCCATTGGGACTATGACAGTTTCAATATATCTTGGTATTAAGCAAGTATTACATGAACGTGATTATAGACTAATGACTTGAATGTCGTCCTGAGAGAAAGGTGATTGTCAACGGATAAACACTGTCCCTCAGACGAAGATGTATCTCAGATATAATTAGAATCTACGATCACTAACGATGATTGCCTCCGATCCCAATAGTCTCCGATAAGCAAGCTAATCAAACAATTATAACCAATTTGCAAACATAGGCTGAATCTTTATTTCTAACAGTTATAATTAATCTGTGACTTAATACTTATATAGTTTAAGACCTATCGATTGATTATGAAGCTAGTTCGCGTTTACAAATATTATCCTGTGTACAGAACCTAGAATTATACAATCGTCATAAACCAAGTTTCATAACAAATTTACATTTATTTGATGGTATACCTTTTTTTCTTTTTTAAGATATTGACAAAAATATCTTCAACTATAAGGGCGCAATACTTATTATTAATTTAGTCATAATTACTTGATAAGGTGTTGATATCAGTACCTGCATGATATGCAAAATGGTATGACAACTTTTCAACACGAATTATATTCGTTACAATTTTGATTTGATGTTCTTCATGGGGGGAGAAATATGTTCCGATGCTTTTCAAGAGATCCAGGTAATCTTACATTTATCTGGAACATCAATTAAATCATGTGAACGTTTGGGAGCAGTTAAATATTTCTGGTAACTTGTCATTGCAAATTGAGATCCCGACACTGATGACAGTTCTGGATAATAACGAATCTCTGCTACAGATGTAGACTAATGGCCAGAGATGTATGGTCTGTCTGCTAAAAGACATTGTCTCCTCTTTTTTTTCTTCTAAGATACGAACTGCAATGACCTAAAAATGTTTAAATAAATCACATATATGTCGTGTTTAATTCAGAGGGGATAAGACGTGAATATAAGTAAGTATATAGGTGACAAAAGTTAATCAAATCAGTTTTTTTAATCTGGTAATAACCATTTATATATGACCTGCTAAAAATAACATTTTTCTCCTTGATTCTTTTGGCTATGATCGTGCATTATGAAATACGTCATATATATATATCGTGGTTTATTTTATGTTTATCTTCTTGTATTTTTCTTTTTAAACGGTTTATAAACAAGAGCACATTATAACATATCTTATGCTGTGATATTAAAGAAGTTAGTTCAAATAACGGTAACATTTGCTGTTGATAAAAAAAATAGCACAAAATTAGTGAAATGAAATATCTATCTTTGTGGTGTCCAGTTTTCAGGGTTTTAGGAAAAATCATTGGTACAAGGCGGACTGCTTTTGTAGTCAAATAAATGCTGATTTGTTAATTTATATAAATAATGAAAATTTCCATGAAAACAACAAAAATTAACCCTTACTCCACGAAAGTTATAGTGCTTTCTGGACCTACTCTATAACTATTATATATGTATAGTCGCTATTTGAACCTAATTAAGCTCCGGTAGCTTGACTTTATATGAAATATCAAATCCAAATACTTCAGGATAGAAAGTTTAGATTGTGCAGTACCTTAGGTAGAAATTCGAGTAATTCATCAATGGTATTAAATTTCATTTATTAAGATGTTGGAATGATCCGCAGCTAAAAGCCAGCTTCAAATAGACCTTTAATAAAGTCAACAGATATCATTGTTTGATTCACATCGTCATAATCTCTTGATTAAAATGAATTATTCCTTTCCCCGGTAACAGTAAAGCAAATCAATGGATTTTCAATAATCAACTGCTTTTTTCTTCATTAGAAGACATGGAAAATGAAAGTCTTAACAATACATCAAGTCTCAGAGCAAATATCTTTGTAAAAGGTTTAATTGCCATGCATTCTCTAACCTCTACAAAATGCTATTCAAAATTTAAAGCACATTAAATCAACCTCTCTATTAAAATCGAATTTGACAAGACTCGTGGGATACTTAGATGAAATTGCAGATTATTAATTTTCCTTACAACAGCATATTAATTCCCAAGCCTGATGTTATGATAAGCCCTCAGGAAGTTTGCTGCTATAACTGGTATCTACAAATCTAATCTGTACTGTTATATCATTCCGTTCTACTCTTTGTACAAATGTGGTGTGTACCACTGCCACCCCTTGTTCATTAAATATGAGAGCTTGATTAGCTACAAACTTGTGTGAACAGATTACGGAATGGTGGACCCTTAATAATTTTGCCAGAAAACTATAGAGAAAACTAATATAATATAAAGGTTGCTCCTCGATCATTGTTTCAGCAGATATGCTACATGTATATATATACATTTGAAAGGAAATTTTGTGGCTGCCAGGTTGTGCTACCCCTTCAAACTTGAAATTGGTTTCTTCAGCCTTGGAAAAAATACTTTGCGATTAATGGTGTAGTTGAAGTATTCCATTTAAGATGAAATTTTGAAGTTGTTCATCAAGTAAAGAATAACAATATTAAGAAATCCTTTTATAACCACTTGAGATAAGAGACGGTTATAATTTGGATCATTGTAATTGTTTAATCATCACTTAAATGTAATCAAAATATTTCCTCAGTCTCATGTAAATTCTTGAAATCGTGGAATCGAAGTTTGGATTTTCAAAACTACGTTATTTACTTTAAGGAAAGGGTTCGTCGAATAGTCCTGTTACAAGAATTTATAGTTCATGTAGGATGGAGTGGGTCAAAAATAACAACTGCAAAAGTCTCTTAATTCTTAATACTTGAGAAGTTATAGGCCGTACTTTAGTAGACTATAAATACAAAATCGTTGGCTTAACATTTTTGATGGCGGAAAAATAAACAAATAAAAATTACTATGCGCTTTAAAAATAATAGCTATTGATCATTTCAATCAAATGATTGTTATGTTAACAATGGTGTATCAACTTTCCGTGACAGTTAATAATTTCTTTAAACTTAACTGAGCAATGGATCGAACATGGGGTATCAACAAATAGGGTATTCGATAAAGGTAAAGATGTGATTAAAATTCTCTCCCAGTGCAGAATATGGGCAAATAGATAAAGTTTCTAATACTTTAGGGAAAATCGATAATTGTGTTAGTTTATTGAAACATGGTATTTGGTGCCGGGATAAAGCTTTGGTAAACGGGTGTTTTATTCTCACACCTACATTTTGTATAAATTGTGTCCAAGTTTTGATTGTCGGAAAAGTTCAAAGTATTTGTTCTCAAATAGTTATAAATAATAAATATATATAAATAAATGTAAAAACCTTTGGTATTTTAAACCTTTATTCTCTCCAGACCAGATCACTCGTACAGAGGAACATACATTATACAAATATATACAAACACAAATGATAGTCATGGGTAAAAAAAGTATAAAAAGAAACAAAAAAGTTAGCTTAAAATCTGTTATATATGCTTCAAGAACAAATAATTTTGAAATGTTCTCAATATTTGTTTTCTTTGTGTATTTCTAAATTGCTTGTGTAAATTAGCCCATCAAACTTGATTTTTTTAAAAAAATTGAATTTTCGCTAAAATATTTGAAATCAACCAGAAATAGTTGTATTTTTTAAATAATTGCTTTATTATTATGTTCATGCTGATTAGTGAAATGTACATTACTGACAAGATATTACAATTCCAGTGGTATCCACTTCTTTTAATAGAACATCAAAAATGAAAAAAAAAATCAAACTAAATATATAGAATCAGAAAGTTCCACCTTCGTTTAGATTTTTAAAGTTGATAAAGAATAAAATACGGTTGAAGCCAGTGAGTTGTGATTAAGAAGAAATGCCTGAAACTAATTTTGTATTCATTACTTTTCGTTCTGTACGGACGCCGCTCACAGTTATGAGGTGTTTAAAATGGAAATTTTGTATATGCGTTTGTTATCTACTTATCATAGATGTTTTCTCTGTGATGACATTTCTTTTGAGACCCGTAGAATAAACTTCAATTGTTCCCTCGACGTGACAATGAAATATGATGTTTAGAACCACCAACTTTTCAGACCTATCACTTCCTTAAAAACCAGGCAAGGTGATCATCCTTTCCGCTCCATCAGTGTACTAGAAGCGGTAATTGGCATGAACATTTTGTCATTAGGAGAAGGCAGAGACAATTCTCTTAAGAATCCTGGCTAATGTTGACGTGGACTTACCAAAGCTTTTTACACTTTTCGGTGATAAAAAGACGCGGGATTCTCTGAAGTGTGGCACTTCACCAAATCACATTAAATTCATGTTTTAACTAATGTCTCACTGACAAATGATTGTTCTAAATTGAAAGTTCTTGTAAAAGCTGAAAGATCTCGTTCAAGATGATTCCATTAAAAACGGATATCGATAAATGTTTTATATGCATTCTCAAAAAAAACCAAGCAAGTCTTGATTACAGCTATTTCAGGAAACAGATATGTTTATTGTAATATGAACAATATCATCTTTGTTAGAGAAAGTATTCGGTTGGAATATCTTGTTCGCTGAGCATACAATATATTTTTTGTTTACCAAAACACTATGGCATTTCAATATGGTCAATATATTTTATACGATATCCATTAAGTATTTGCTTTATGTCTAGATAATAGATGATGTTCAGTTATTGTTGACACAATTCATCTTTTTATTTGTATTTAGATGGTATTCTGATCTACTTTTTTTATCCTTTACTTTCAGCCGACATCAACTCTTCGACAAAAGCGCGCACCTGTAAGTAATCTTTTTACTCATTTCATTTTAAAATTCTTCATGAATAAATGTTCATGGGTTGTGGAATCGACTTTCATCATATTCAAAAGAATTATTTCTCTGAAAGATTATTAAAACATTATAATTGATATTTTAAATGTTAAAAGGTTGAAAAATAAACAAACCAAAAAAATCCCCTAACAAACAAAAACAAAACAAAGCAAAAACAACACCAATGAAAAAAATCTGAAAGAAAGAAGGTTAATGATACACACTTTACTTTGAATATATGTATATTTAATTAAAAAAATAAATATCTGTTATATATTTTATGTTTATGTATTTAGAATTGTCGTTTTATGTATGTTTATACAGATAAAAAAACATATATTGATTTTAAACTCGTTTTGTGCATTGTAAAGCATGTCATGAATTAGTGTTTGGAGGCCTCAAGTCATTGTAATTTATCTGTTTATTAAAGAATCGCATTTGCTTATGACAGCTCTATTTGTTATTCTTCTGTTAGGAAATCATTTAGATGTTTTAGCCAGAAGACGCTTAGGTCTGACTAGCATCTACAAATGCAAACATATTAGTCTTATTTGAAAATCGGGTTTTTCATTATAAATAACCTGTGTATGACGTCCTTTCACAGAGATATCAGTTCCCGCGCTTGGGAAGGTCGCAAGAATATGTAGGTTTATCACAGGGTAACTTATGCACAGCGCATGCTCAATGAAATTTTCTTATGATTGTCTTTGTATTGCTTACATTTTAGCTTTTTTAAAATCATTTTCTTTTGTATTTACAAAACATTCTATTAACAAGAAGATTCAATGCTTTTTATTTTATTAACGTTTCTTATACAAATATTAAAATTGAATTGAAAAATCAAAATATGTAAATTTTATTTCAAAAACTATATCATTGTTAACAAAGAATTTTATTTACTCCGTGTTACACAGAAAGTAAACAAGAGACCTTTACAATTTCCACGCTTGGGTGGAAAGAGATCCATTATGCCAACGGTACGTGAGGCATACTCTGAAGATACGTCATTTCTAGACAAAAATAGATGGTTTGTTTCTTAATGTATAGCAATGTACATGTATTTTTTGTACAACTTTCAGAATTTCGAGACTTACACAGATACTAATGTTGCAGAAATTCTTCCAGTTTTAAGCGATGAATTATTAGATATTTTACAAATGAGCCAAAATGACCTAACATCCCGTCAGGTAGACCAGGTAACATTGCACAGGCGCACACCTGTCCAAAAAATTGCATGGATATGCTCTCTTCCTTGACTGTTGTGAAGTAAGCAAAATGTTTTTGTAAAACTTCTTCACTGAAATGTACATTCAAGCTTTCTATCTCTCCTGTCTGACGCCATCTTGATCGCCATTCCTTTCAATGAACTTCCGCCCCTTTTTTCACCCTTCAGATGTTGAACATGAATGCATGCAGGTTGAAATAAAAAAGGTAAACTATGCAAAAAAGATTGTTTTGTATAAGGTACAAATAAGTTTGAAAATATTATATAAAATACTTTTCTTTGTCTCAAACTAGAAGTAAAAGATAGAAGTTTAAAGTAAAAGTATAAATCTTTTTTATTTTAGTTTTATTTTTCATCTTATGAAAACTATTTTTAAAGGATGTTTATGTGAATAAAAGGAAAATCCAGTTCCCAAGGTTGGGTCGAAAGCGAAGTTTAACAGACAGCAAAAACAGAATTGTAAGAAGTATTGAATTTTATGGAGGTTTATGATAATGTTTGTTTGAATTTCAGAGAATTTGTTTTCAAAATTAAAACTTTAATCGAAAGTGTATTTAAAACTTTCAGAGAGAATATGCAGAGAAAATGATACAGTCGGCGGCTTCTCAAGTCGATCCAGACGTTCTTATGAAACTTAAAGAATTAATGAACGAAGACAGTGACAACCAAACAGATGGAGTTATCATTATTTAAAGTTGTGGAACTAATTTGCTCCATATACCATTGGAAACTAAAGAATACTTAGACCAGTCCGCTGAGATTATTCTCTCTCAAAATACTACAGTAAAACTTGTCTAATCCGGACACCAACTGGCCAGAATGTGGAACATTCTGGATTACGCAACAGTTAAAATAATTGAATTTACTGCAAGGGATTTAAAGTGAACACCGTATTTAAGACAAGATTTTGGATAACACAAAATCCAGATTAATCAAGTTTCACTGTTTGTATTCGGAGAAAATTTTTAAGAGGACTAGGTTTTTGAATGTACAAAATTGTAACTATTTATTTTTAAATAAAATATTTAAAACTAAGAATACGGTTTGTTTGTGTGGTTTTTTTTTATTTTTTGTGATATGATCAATTACCAGGAACTACTCGCAACATTCAGCATTTACCTGTTACCTAACAATATTTACAAGTTACTTATGAAATATCTTGTTTTTCCAGAAATATTTTTATTTTCCACGTATGGGCCGGTCGGTGAGTAGTTCATAATTATAATAAATGATTGTTTTCTGTAGACCGCTTCTTGATATTCATTAAAAGCTTCTGTTGCAGATTTAGTTTCAATGTATACATTCATTCTTTATTTTCCAGAGGTGTGTAGAGATCGAGTAAACTGTAACAATTTTTGTTCTATGCTCATATACTTCTAGGTTGTAAAACATTAAATATTTATACACTTTTGGTTTTTGTTAGTCCGTGATGAATGTTTTAAAGTACATTTTTACATATCTCGCACGATAGATTTTCAGAATTATGTTACACTTAAAAATGATGTGGAAAGTTAAATCCTAAATACTTGTGGAAACTTAAAGGGACTGGGGAGTTTTGGCCATTTTCAGGCTATTTTGACCTCATTTAGAAGAAGAGCTTCATAAAAAGATATACAAAAATGATCAAATTTTAAAAGTAAAATATATGAAATTTTCCTTGCTTAATGATCGTTCATAGCTTAATATATCAAAAGAAAAAATTAAGTTAAATCTGGTGGTTAAATGTGGCAATTTTTTTTTACCATTTCGAAACTCACATGCATTTAGAATTATGGGAAAAAATCTGTGATGCTAAATATTGAGCAAGTCAGAGAAACTAGCATCGGAACTTAATGAATAGTTGATATGAATACGACTCAACATTCTAGTGACAATGTCATTCCCGATTTCCCAGACGTGCAATATCAAGAGACCGACCAGAGCAGATTAATGAGAGCGGCTTATTGAGGTTTATGCATGATTTGTAGCAAGTTCCCACGGGTAGGGATGAAACAACAAATGATCACTATCAGCTCTCCTAATATTTATATATACGTATTTAATTTCAGTTTTGTTTGCATCAAAGTCCTAAGAAAATTGATCATGTTGTTGGTATATTTTTATGCACATTCTATTCTCTCTGACTTGTTTTACCTTTGGGGCGTTTTTTGTGGCTGTAGTAAATTACGATACATGTATATGGTGTTTGAGATTTAGTGCCAAGGTTAAGACTTAATATGTTAAGAGGGCTGGGTGGTTGTAGCCATTTCAGACTATATTGATCTCCTTTAGAAGAAGAACTCCACATAAAGATATCCAAAAATAATCAAATTTTAAAACTAAAATGTATGAATTTTTTTCTTTTCCAAATGATAGCCGACAGCTTAAGATATCATATCTAAAAAATGTTGTAAGTTATATATAATGATTAATTTGTTGACCCCCAAGCCTCCTTATTATGTATTGATCTAAAGCGTGTGTTTAGAATAAAGATGAAAGTTGCAGATTAAAGTTGATTAAAGTTGATAAGTGTGACATTGTTTCTGGGCAATTTTCTAAACTGTGTTTTTGTTTAGTTTATTTTTATCATCAAATAATATTGAAAAAACTATTTCCTGAGTTGTTCAAACGCTTCATCCATGTGGTTTAATTTGCTCTGTAAATTCATAAGGCTTTTTATTTTATTGCTGTACGTTGCTCATATGCTAAGCTGAATGATAAATTAATACACTAATCAAGTTTGTTGATAAAAAAAACCGTTATCTGGATTTTTATTTAATCAAACTAAGGTTTCCTATTTCAGATTTTAATGCAGATAGCAGAAAAGCTAAGAGTTTTTATATGTTTAGTAGTTTTATTCAAATTGAAGCAATAATTGTTACATTAAAGTTGACATTCATGGCCGAAGCTAAAAGGTTTCGATCTGAGTTTGCAATTTCAGATTCAGTAGGACAAAATATGTTTCTATGACTGAAATATTTGTCTTGCTATGCACTTTATTATTGAAATAAGATAGCTGAACCGGTCCGTTTATTTGATCAATAAATTAAAATACATTTTGAAACAATTATATCAGTGATTTAATAACCAGGTAAGAACACAGATTAACCAAGAACTACAGAGATAAACACAAATTGAAATTACCTTTGTCCGTTCTACTTTTTCCGAATTTTATGGCAATAAATTATAAAAAATGATATTAAACAATCTTTAATCGTATCGTTTTTAGGCGTTTTATTTCCCACGGATGGGCAGGAACAATGGCCCACAACCAAATCCATACAAACATTATCCTCTATTGAGTTCAAATGAACAATTAGGAAATCAGGACCTAGAGAGCATTGACATGCCAGAAACTAACGAGCATTCCTTCGGTCAGCCCGCTCCATACAAACAGAACCTGCCTGTTAGTAAGAGTCAGATACTGCCAAGTCAGGGGGATGACAGCATGCCCGGGGGTATCTGTTGTTCCGCTGGTGTATCCCGTGTGTGGGGCCTCAAAGATCTCAAGCCTCGTCATTTATGCTCAGCGAAAAAATGTTGTATTGGACTGACGTCAAAGGTTTATATCGCCTCCGATCTCACTGTATATGAACTATGTGTTTCTGATACGGTAAGAAAAACATAAGTGATCATATTTTGTCTCATAACAAATGTCTTCAGAGTGTTTGATTTATCAATTTCTTTACTTTTAAGAAAATATATATTTTACAACCTTTGCAAAAAGAAATTTAACTTTTAAAAAGATTTTTTTTTTCAATCATGTTTACTCCAAAGTTTACAAAGCAACAATTAGTATTGAATACTTTTAAACAATACTATCCTTCTACATTTTATTTAAATGAAATTCGATGTTAAAAAAAAAATAATTGAAAATAGTGATGCCAATAAACAGAAATTTCAAAAACAAAAATGAGAAAATAATTCTATTAAATTACAAATGAAAAAGATGCATATTCGTGCAAGCAGCTTGATATTAGTCTCAAAAATACTTGTAAGCCTCATATACTGTAGTGAATTGAAGAGAAAACTTTTGAAAATAGTCTTATTATTAAGTTAAACATTCTTCGTATATGTATGTTGTTTGGTTAGTTATATTATCTTTAAAAAACAGACACCTAAATTCCTCATATTTAAGGTTGTAAAAGAACAATTCTGTTAGAAAGTCTCTCTAGAGCCAATCTGTTGAAAAATTGAAGAAAGCTATTTCTATGAGACATATAGATGTAGTATGTTTATGGATCATCACAATAATTATAAGACCAGGGTAGTTTTACAATCTTTAAATACATAAAAAGTTCTTGACTCGATACTCATTGATAAAACAAATCTTTATTTTCAAAGCATACTTTTTAATGTTATGTATTCAAAAGTTTATTCTTATATTGAGAATGGGTGGTTTAATTGTAAATATTTTTTTTCAAAAGGTGATATTTATAACTTCATAACCATACTATAAAGAGAATTTCAAAAAATGCAGTCTCCCTCTTTTTCTCTCTATGAATGCACCATTTTCTTTTCATCATTGTAGGCTGAGCAACCATTAGAGACCAAGAGTTAATGGAGAGCCAAATTCTCTTGATAATTTAATAATGTACCATTTTATGTTATAATTTTACAGTTAAATAAATTTGTATATTTGATTATATAACAATTGTTTGTCTTCAGCAATGCATATTGACTGGGCTTAAATGTATCTAGTTGCTAATTAAGATGATCATCAAGTCTATGATTATTTCTGTGATAGAATCCTAAATCCCTATATTCACTTACTGCGTAAAATTTCGGTAAAACTTCCCAATGGTAAAGAAAAAATTAGCATAAAGATATAAAACTAAATTGAATAGGAAAATACGGAAGAAAATATACTGTAGAATCACATATTTTCGTGGGGGTGAAATTTTCGTGGTTTGACGAAAAAATATGGGTTTTTGGGATTTAATCCCGGAGATGGAGGATTGTTAAGAAGTAATATCTGTGAAAAGTTACATTTCATGTTGGACATAAATCCATGGTCTCTCCATACCTCGAAAACCACGAAAATTAAATCCCAACGAAAATTAGTGATTTCACAGTACGTATATCACACTTACAAAATATCAAAGATATATTTTGTGTTTTCTTGTCTCATTTTGCTATGAAACTGAATAGTCGTTTAACTAGCAATAACGCATTGTGTTTTGTCTCAGAATATCTATTTCTTACAAATCACAAATAGAATGTAAAGGTAGCCTTGGATCCGATCTCAATTTTATTCTACAAAAATGTGATTTGTTAACCATAAGTTAGTCAAAAAGCAGTTATGGGTGGCTGTAAAGGAACAAGAGAGATATGTACTTGCGTGTGGCATAAAATTTATGTTAAATGGAGAGCTATAGGACAAATGTCTATTTATTAAAAGGTTACGTTAAAGTATACTGTAAATGTAGGTTTTTTGATTGGGCAATATTTTGAGGTTTCCATAAAACAAAAAAATCGTGTTAATTTATTTTTTCGGAATTAAGAAAATAAAAAAAATGTTTGGTTTTGTTGTTTTGTTTGATCGACGTTTTCCATACTAGTTTTTAGACCATTACTTAAAAACTGTATTGTTGACGGATGTTTCCATTCATTATTTTCCTTTCATGAGGAAACACACGGTGGGTGTAACCGGTCTGCAGGGAATATGCTTACTAATTCATGGCACCTGATCCCACCTCTAATGTTTTGGAGGTCCGAGTTTGCTCTGCTCCTATTTTGTAATGTTAAATGGACTTTTGAGCTTAAATACTGTTCATTAGTATGGTGTCTTATCTGAAACTGTTCCTGTGGTGATATTTTTGCGATATTTTACTTACTGGAGAACATGCAAAAATGAATCTTATGCGAAAATACCCATATTTACAGGAGCAGATTCAAAAATCACGGGTATGTTACATGTACTTAAAAGAATATGTCCTTTGATAAAAGACCTTGAATTGTGCCTCTTACTAGGTCTTGTAGTTAAAAACGTCTCCATGAATATCTGTATCGTCAAAATGTTTTATGATTCTTCATTTTTCAATGAAGCCCTTTTCTAAGCATCGATTTCATCATATAATCACTTAACTTAACCTAGGAAATTAAGACCTAGACAGCATTGATATGCCGGAAAATAAAGAGCATTCCTTAACTTTTGAGATCTGTTTTAAGGAAAATGGAATAAAAATAAATTAGGAAAAATGTGTTCATTGTGACCTTTATCTTGATTTCCGAATATTGAATCAAAATAATTGTTTTACTTAATCAAACCACGATGTTTGTAAGGCTTATTAATTGGACAGATCCTTGTTTTAAGAGTTGATTGTTTATTTTTGATTTAGATATATGTCTTTTTCAATGTCGTGCAGCACATAAAATAAAGTGCAAAAAGATGTATATTTCATTGATTTTTCTGATACAAGAATTGCGTCAGTTTTCTTTTTGCAAATGCATTTTACTTAAACAAAAACTGGAACTCCTATTCCCCATTATTAATAACTTCAAAGACTGATTGATTATATGTTAAGTTTTACGCCTTGATGATTTTTTTCCCTTCATGTCAAAAAGTACTTTCTTTTGGTAAAGTGCCAAAAGAATAGGATATTCATATTTAAGTGTTTCACTGACAATAGATAGTAAGGGTAATCCATTACTAACAAGATGTTTTCAGCTTTTTTTTCGTCAACTTCCATTATTTATGGAGCAGAATTAAAACGCCAATGTCTGTATATATTGTTTTGTATCCTATGTTTTCGATGCTTTGAGGAATATTAATTTTCAACCAGGCAGGCTACTGAGAGACAAGTAGATATTACATGGATTTTATTAACCTTGTTTAAAATCAGCATTTTGAATATTATATACTAGTATGCATGTATGGTCATTTTGATAACAATGCAAACATAACCTTAAGTCGTATATCAATTGTTACTTCTTGTTTTTACTACTCAATTCAATATCAAATCACATAACTGGTCAATACAAAAGGCTTATGGCGGTTTAGCTTATAAATCTACAGGGGATGCTTATTTCCTCCTAGTCATCGGAACTCAACATCATAAAGTTTGCAGGGGTCTTAATTTGCCACAATAACAGATTTGTATTGTTAATTTTTCAGATCAATCACTGTAAAGTTTTCTCATTTTTTTTTCACGTTGGCACTTAAGTTATTTCTCTCTACCCTAGTAAATAAAAAATGAAAAACAATTGTAATAAAGACGAGACAAACATTCTTCTTGAGACATGATATATAGCTTAAAACACTTTTTAACGTCTAAGCTTTAAACTTAAAAAAACCACTATTTTTTAAATAATGTACCACTTCTTACCAAATACAAAAACATTCTAAATCAAAAAAGTTTTACCCGTAGTATTTCGTTTTTCACCCTTTGATACGAATTAAGCGACAGTATCTTAAGGGGGAAGGGGAGGGGGGTGAAAATCATTACTACTCAAGTATATGGGTCTTTACTCGTTTCAAATTTTTCACATGGACTCATACCCGGACTGCTTCCTGAGAATGCTTTGTGTTCGAAAAACTCTCGTATGGTTTTTGATTTATGGCATACACCAATTAGGTTCTGTTAAATGAAGTACTTATGGAGATCATGAACTGTAATAAAGCGCAAATGCCCATAGAAACAATTCAAATCGGAAGTAGAGTAAACATCATAAGCATCAGAGATGGGATCAGGTGGCATGAAGGAATAAGCATTCCCTGTCGATCAGTGACAACCGCCGTGTACGCCTTGTTTTGATATCGCAAACGGCAAACCCGTACAAAATTTTATGTCAAATACGACAATTAGTTTGATAAACATCAGCCAGCAATTGAACTTAACGATAGATTGTATTTGTCGACATCGTCATTGTATCGAACATAGAACTTACAAAATGATGATTTAAGACGAGACTGTCGATATTCCTGTTTCATCAATTTGTTTATCAATAGCTTATAATTGCTTTGTTTTAAACATTGTTCATACGTAGAGCATGCTCTTGAATATCGAATCAACTGATAGACATAAACCCCATATGCAGGTGATAATAGTATATTGCTACATAAGAAATGAAAGCTAATTGATTGATTGTATATTGTCTAACGTCCCTCTCGAGACTTTTTCATTCATATGGAGACATAGACCATTAACCATATCACAAAAACATACACTTGCCGGTGGATAGCTGGAAATTTTTGTCCTATACTCGGCACTCTGAAGGTGGAAGCTGAAGGTAGAAAAGCTGAAGTCATCACGTTCGTCATAGCGTTGTGTTCTTAAATTACCATTAAAGCATTCTGGCAAAATATGCAAATATGACAAAAGATGTCCCACATAATGCTATTTTTTTTATTTCAAGTTAATTAAATACAAATCATCTTCTGGAATCTACCAAGCCAATACTAAATGGTTGTAAGATATTTCAGTATCTATACGTACTTCGTATAAAAATTTAAGATAACGAACAGTATTGAGCTTATTTAAATCTTTGTTTCAAAGTATTATATTCCATTCGGAAATAAGCATTGAATTTGTTCACACGCAAAAGCATATAAGCTCATTTTATCATGAGCTGTAATTATGTTCGTAGTATCTTATTAATTTCATTTCAAGGTAAAAAAAAAAAATGAAAATCTACAATACTTATTTGTCTGTAGGTTGGCTTTGATTTGAAAAATGAGACTTAATTTATTCGCTTGAATATCAAATCAGTTGATATAATTTATATATATATGTGTTCTGGCAAAATATGCAAATATGACAAAAGATGTCCCACATAATGCTATATATATATATATATATATATATATATATATATATATATATATATATATATATATATATATATATATATTAAGGGTGAAACGATTACACGTGTAAACGGCGACGTTTCGATTATATGCTCTAAACGTTTACAGTTTGAGTAAACGTTTACACGAAGGTCATTATCAATTGATGTCTATCAGAAATAAAGTTTAACACAAACAAATTGTTTTATTTCATAATTTACAAAAGAAACACCGTCTTAAGCAACAATCTAAACCGGAAACATATTGAATGAAAATATCTAAAACCCGATAGGGGCTAACATAATTAATTCCGATTTCCGAGTTGCTTATACTAGCGATGTTTTACGACACTTGAAATATAAAACTTGATATATTTTGATTAAATAAATATAATACATTTTTCACAAGTCTTTGAAAAGTTTCAATACAGTCAACAGGTCTTATTTTAATTTTTTCGAGATTAAAAGATCCATCTTAACAATTATTTCTACGTCCGGGAGCCAAACAAACCAAGCAGTTGGGTGACGAGGTCGAAAGTGAATGAGTTTAATGCGCCTCAAATTCTTACGGTTAAATCACAATGACCAACAATAAATTTGTAATAACAACTCATACTTATATTAACGTGAAAAAATTGGTTATTAAATTCGAGTTTCATCAGTAAGTAGCCATAAAAATCAAACATAGAAAATCTCCCGTTTAAACGGTAACGTTTCGTTTACTGCTATCCGTTTAAACGTTTACAAAATTCAGTAAACGTTTCACCCTTAATATATATATATATATATATATATATATATATATATATATATATATATATATATATATATATATATATATATATATATATATATATATATATATAT